CCCGCGGGGGGCCCCCCGGGGGCCCCCGACAAAGAGGGTACTGACGGGGGACCCGGGGGGCCCCCGTTGTCCAGGGGCCCCTGCGCAGCACGCAGGCGAGAGGAACGCGTCTTGGGAAGCTCCGCCGCGACCGCCGAAGAGCTGCTGCTGCTGCTGCTGCTGCTGCTGCTGCTCGCCACCGACGACCGCCGCGCGCCCTCCGCCGCTGCTGCTGCTGCTGCGGGACCCGGCGCAGCAGGGTACTGCAGCGCGAGGCCCCCAGGGGGGCCCCCAGGGGCCCCCTGAGACCGCCGGAAGCTGCTGCTCTTCTTGCCCTTCGGGTCTCCTCGGGGGCCCCAATCGGGTACTGAAACTAGCCGCCAGGGGCCCCCCGGGGGGGCCCCCAAAGACAGAAAATAATTTTCAATTTGGGACTTTTCAAAACCCGACAAATAAAGCTCCCCAGACGCGCAGCCCCACCCGTGCACTGCAGACGACAAGGAGGGCAAACCCGCTGCTGCTGCTGCTGCTGCTGCTGCTGGAGCTGCTGCTGGCGCTGCTGTTGATGGCGAGGGCGATGGTCCCGCAGGGTCTGCTGCTGCCGCCGGTGCTGCTCCTGAGAGGGAAGCTGCTGCAGGTGCTGCTGCTGCTGCTGCTGCAGGGTCTGCTGTCGCGCCAGGCGCTGCTGCTGCTGCTGCTGTTGACGGCGGTAGAAGTGATGCTGACTGAGATGCAGCAGCTACAGAGTCGGAACCAGCAGAAGCAGCAGGCGCTGCTGTTGCTGCGCCTTGCTCCAGTGGTGCCCCTGCTGCTGCAGGTGCTGCTGCTGCAGGTACTGCTGCTGCAGGTGCCGCTGCTACTGCTTCCGGCAATGCTGCAGCTTCTGCTGCGGGCAAAGCACCTTGTGCCGCTGCCGCCTCCAAAGCTGTTGCTGTTGCCTCTGGTGCTGCTACTGCTGCTGCCTCCGGCGCTGCTGCTGCTGCTGCCTCCGGTGCTGCCGCTGCTGCTGCCTCTGGTGCTGCTGCTGCTGCCTCTGCTGCTGCTGCTGCTGCTGCCTCTGCTGCTGCTGCTGCTGCCTCCGGTGCTGCTGCTGCTGGCTCTGCTGCAGTGGAGGAAACTGCTGCTAGCGGCGGCGTAGAAGCAGCAGTTCCTTCAGTTCCCTGTGTGGTGCTGCCATTTAGAGTGGCAGCCCCTGCATGTGGCTGCGCCGCTGCTGCTGCTGCTGCTGCTTGCTGCTTTTGGTCTGCTGCTTCAGCAGCAACCGCTGGAACGCTGTTAGGGACACTCGCCTCTCCTGGGGGGCCCCCCGAGGGGGCCCCCGTGCTGGGTGCCATGGGGCAGCTGCCAGGGGCCCCCTGGCGGCCCCTGCTGCTGCTGCAGCGCGCCTCGAGGCCAGGGGCCCCCGCAGCTGCTTCTGAATTGGAGCTGCAGCGCGGCAGCAAAAAGCAAACGAGGCTTGCTTTGCTGCTTCGCAGCAGCAGCAGAGGCGAAAAGCCTGCAGGGAAAAGGGGGGCCCCTAGGCGTTGTTGGCTGCAGGCGGGAGATCAGCGGAAGAGGAGCCGCAGCAGCTGCAGCCGCAGCAGCAGCAGCAGCAGCAAAGCAACAACAATTTCTCTCGACAGATACAAAAAAATGAAGGCAAAAGAGGCAACTTATTTGACGCGCCAATGCGCGCCTGCTGCTTGCGACGTGCAGCCCCAGCTCGCCCGCATGCATGCGCTGAGTTGAATTTGAATGTTCAGTGCAGGTGCTGAGCGGGGCTGGTGGAAAGGCCGGAAAAATGCAGTTCTTCAGGATTTAAATGGGCCATTAAGGGTGGAATTTTGCTTTTAAATGTGCCTACCGTTTAATTTGCCGGTTTCGACGGAGATATCCGGGAGGATCGGTGAGTTTCCGCGGAGCCCGGAAGCCAGGGGCCCCTTGCGCCGGCGAGGCTTGTGGGGCGCCGGCGGTATTCAGTGCTTTGCTGCGATTATTTAAATTCAATTTGTCTTTTAAACTGAAACATTCTTCAAAGTGACGCGGCTGAGTGGCTTCGCAGCTGCGGGAGCCGCGCTGAGCAGCTGCCGATACACCCCAGCAGCAGGCGCTGCGCCTTAGTGTGCCTTCCGCTGCACTCCTTCTTCTTTCAGTTGGCGAAATTCCTGGAAATTTTGGCTTTAGACATTTAATTTTGAACATTATTATTGTTTTGTTTTCCGTTGGGGCCCCTACTTCGCCTTTTCCGCGCTTCCTTCCCTGCAGATCGCGAGTTCTTGAATTCCGATTTCCAGTTCTGCACAAGCCGACTCGAGTTTGGCCTCCGCGGCCAGAGCCAGCTGTTCGTCGGCTCCCGGAAGTTGATGGCGTTATTTTCAACTTTTGCAAAACTAGAAAGCTTCAGCTGGAGAAGGAGTTCCCTTTGTTTGCTTCTCACCAGCAGCCGCAGCAGCAGCAGCAGTTTCTGAATTCAAGATGAAGGGGTCTAAAGACAAAGCTCGGAAGCGGCTTCGCAGCGAACCCGAAAATGCAGAAATTGCCGCAAAAAAGAAACGCAAAGAGCCCGCCCCCAGCCCGCAAGCAGAAGACGACTCTGCTGCCAGCAACTCCGCCGACGAGAAGCCGCAGCAGCAGCAGCAGCAGCAGCAGGAGGCGGAAGCAGCCCCAGCAGCAGCTGCTGCTGACGGGAGCTCAGCAGCAGCAGCAGCAGCTCCTGCTGCTGCTGCAGAGCCCTCCTCTTCGGACTCGAACGCGCCTGCAGGTAACTGCGCGGTGGTGTATGTAATGCGGGAGTTGGGGTGTACGTACACCTGAGGTTGCATGCATGCGTTTGCAGGTCCTTCGGGAGGATTTTTTTCAGAAGTTTTATTTGAAAGTTTGGACATTTGCGAGCCAGTGAAGAAAGCCCTCAAAGAAATGAAAATGGAAAGACTCACAGAAATTCAGGCCAAGTCCATTCCCAGGCTCCTCGAGGGCAAAGATGTCCTCGGCGCAGCCAAAACAGGTGCTGCTGCTGCTGCTGCACTAACTGCTGCTGCTGCTTCTGCTGCAGTAACTGCAGCTGCTGCTGGGTTGCCTGCCGCTGCGTCGTTTGCCTTCCCTTTGCGGAATCCTGCCTGAACCTCACTCCTCCTCCTGGGCTGCCGCCGCCGCCCCTGCTGCTGCTGCTGCTGCTGCTGCTGCTGCTGCAGGGTCGGGGAAGACCCTGGCGTTTCTGGTTCCTGCGCTGGAGCTGCTGTACCAGGTGAAGTTCCTGCCGCGGAACGGAACTGGAGTTTTGGTGATATCGCCAACTCGAGAATTGTCTTTGCAGATTTTCGAAGTGGCAGCAGAAGTGGCGAAGTTTTTGCCGCAGACGCTGGGGCTGGTGATCGGCGGGGCCAACCGCCGCAGCGAAGTCGAGAAACTCAACAGAGGAATTAATGTTCTGGTGGCCACTCCGGGGCGGCTGCTGGACCACTTGCAAAACACGCGGGTGAGGGCTTTTTTCCGGTGTACGTACACCCCAAATGCTGCACGTACACCCCAAGTGCGCGCCCCACGCCCGCTGAGGCTTCAGCTGTACGTACACCTGCGCTGCCGCAGGGCTTCGTCTACAAGAACCTCCTCTCGCTCGTGATCGACGAGGCCGACAGAATCCTCGAAATCGGATTCGAAGAGGAAATGAACGCCATTTTGAATCTTCTTCCCAAAACAAGACAAACTTGTTTGTTTTCCGCCACGCAAACGGCCAAAGTCGCGGACTTGGCGCGGCTTTCCCTCAAGAAACCCGTCCTCGTGCAAGTCCGTGCAAGAACTGGAAACCCCCGCGAAACTCCTTTCTTTTCGAAACTTCAAACGCAATTTGCATTTCATTTGCTAAATTAGCACTCTAGAAAGAAACGGGAAGCCAAAGATGGCTCTTTTGTGGCAGCTTTCAACCTTTTCGGCGCCGCGCGCCGCGCACTGTCTGCGGTGTATGTACACCTCAGGTGCAGAACTCCGTCGCCACAGTGTCCGGACTGCAGCAGGGATTTATAGTGTGTCCTGCAGAACAGCGCTTTTTGCTGCTGTTTACATTTTTGAAAAAGAATCGGGACAAGAAAGTAATGGTTTTCTTCAGCAGCTGCATGTCTGTGCGCTTCCATGATGAACTCTTCAACTACATCGACCTTCCCACCACTTGCATCCACGGAAAAAAGAAACAAGCCGCCAGAATGTCCACTTATTACGAATTCTGCGAAGCAGAGGTGAATTGAATCTTCTGTTGCTTCCGGTTGCTGCGGGCCGCGGAAGCTGCGGCTCCTGGGGTGTACGTACACCCCAGCGCCTCCACCGCAGCAGCACTTCCGCCTTTTGCGCGTTTGCTGCAGAAGGGAATTTTGCTCTGCACCGACGTCGCGGCCAGAGGCCTCGACATCCCCAAAGTGCGCCAACAGGCAGCAGCACGGCTAGGGTTTAGGGTTTAGGGTTTAGGGTTTGGGGTTTGGGGTTTGGGGCTGCAGCGCGGCAGATGGGGCCTCGCGTGGTCGCACGAGCCCCGGAGTGTTTCGCGGCTCAGCGCGCGTCTTGCAGCGCGGAGCGCGCAGGGTCCAGGGTTTAGGGTTTAGGGTTTAGGGTTTGGGGTTTGGCGACTGGCGCAGGTGGACTGGATCGTGCAAGTGGACCCGCCGGACGACCCGCGGGAGTACATACACCGCGTGGGCCGCACGGCGCGGGGCGCGGGCGGGCGGGGCAAAGCATTAATGTTTTTGATGCCGGAAGAGTTGGGTTTTTTGCGTTATTTGAAAAAGGCGGGAGTTCCTCTAAATGAGTATTCTTTTCCAGCTTCCAAGCTCGCCAATGTCCAGACACAGCTCGAAAGGCTCATTGAAAAAAACTACTATCTCCACAAGTCCTCCAGAGACGCCTACAGGTCCTACTTGCACGTAAGTCCCGGGCTTGCGAGGGTTTGCGAGGGTTTCGGGAGCCTTCTTAGGGTTTGCGAGGGTTTACGAGGGTTTGGGGGGGGTTATTGGAGTTTGGGAGAGTTTGGGGGGGCTTGTGAGGGTTTACGAGGGTTTGCGGAGGTTTTTTAGGGTTTATTAGGGTTTGGGAGTGTTTGTGAGGTTTTGGGGAGGCTTGTGAAGGTTTATGAGGGCTTGGGGAGGTTCGTGAGGACTTACGAGGGTTTATGAGGGCTTGTGAGGGTTTGTAGGGTTTACCAGGGTTTACTGGGCTTCATGAGGGTTTAGGAGGGTTTGGAAGGGCTTGTCAGCGTTTACGAGGGTTTATTTGGGATATTAGGGTTTAGAAAGAGCAGCAAGTCTAATTCGTAATTATATTTAATTCATTTCAGTATAATTCAATTTAATTCAATCAAATTCAATTTACTTCAATTTACTTCAGTTTGAAATAATTCCATTTTAGTGGCAGGTCTGCGGGGGTCCCGCTATTGCTGCTGTTGCTGCTGCTGCTGCTGCTTCTTTCTGCATGCGTGTTTTTGCTGCTGTTTATTTTAACAGAGTTACTGGGTCCTCCCACTTCCGCAAAAAAACAAATGAAAAATAATGAACTTGCAAATAAACAAAAGATAAAGAGATAAAGAAATAAATAAATTAAAAAGGAATTGGTGAATTGAACAAGTTGATTCGAAACTGCAGCTTTTGTTTATGAAATCTGGAGCCAAAGAGTGGCATTTGAAGGCAAAAAAGCAGCGAAAACATGAATTAAAGCAAACAAATAAATTGATCAATCGAAAACAATAAAAGGTCGAAATAAATCAATTAAATTGTTTTTGCTGCTGCTGCGCCGCAACGCAGGCCTACGCCTCCCACGGCCTCAAAGACATCTTCAATGTCTACAACTTGGACTTGCAGCGAGTGGCTCGCGCTTTTGGCTTTTCTGTGCCTCCAAAAGTGGATTTAAACTTAAAAGCAAAGGGAAGAACAGCAGCAGACAAAAAGAAAAGTAAATGTAACGCCAGCGGCCACAAATTCTCCGCCGCCAACCCGTACGGTGAGCTGCCTGTACACCCCACGCTGTACGTACACCCCACGCTGTACGTACACCCCACGGTGCCGCTCGGGTCGGAAGGCGATCTTTTCCGCCGATTTTGTTCCTTTTTAGACTCAAAAGGCTCCAAATGCAATTATAAATGCAGTTGTAAATGCATTACACAAATAAATTGGCGAATAGACGCGCAAACGTCTGCCTGATTTGCATGCATGCAAATTGGCCACTGAGCCTTTTCAAGTGTATGTACAGCACAGAAGGTTTCTCTGGGCCTGCAGCCGTCTCCAAATGCCCATTTCAATTTCTCGCATGCATTTCCCCTTTTGAATTTGTCCATCATTCAAGTTTTCGGTGCATGCATGCTTGCATATCTGGATGCATGCAAGCACAGTTGCATGCAAGCATAGCGTGCGAATGTGCACGCCTGCATGCGCAGTTGCATGCATGCGCAGTTGCATGCATGCATGCATGCATGCATGCATGGAGAGTTGCGAGTGGGCGTTGCTGCGCTGTGTGCAGGCGTGAGGGCCCCTGGAGACAAGCGTCAGTTTTGTCACTAGACTGCTTTTGCATGCATGCAGTTTGCGTTTTAGTTTCGACTTCCTTTGGGCCTAACTGCTCCATTTGCAGCCCGCCCAAACCAGTTCAAAGCCCCGCCCCACAGACAAGCCCCAGCTGCATGCAGCCGTGCATGCATGCAGCGGACCACTGGCACGTGACCACTGGTCCGCTGGACCTTTCTGCAGGCATTAATGCATGCATGCATGCATGCATGCATGCATGGTCTTTCTGCATGCATGCATGCATGCTTGCATGCATGCATGCTTGCATGCATGCTTGCATGCATGCGTGCATGCATGCGTTTTTCACCTTGCGCGAACCCTGCGGAGCTGAGCAATGTACTTTTCGGCGTTGTTCAGTTTTTCCAACTCGGCCAGTTTTCTCTCCTGCGAACCAGCTCCGCAACTCGAGGGTTTAGGGTTTAGGGTTTAGGGTTTGGCGGGGCTTAAGGCTAAGGGTGTACCTACGCCTCAGACAGAGCCTCAAACCCTGCTCTAGGGTTTGGCGTCCGAGGGTTTAGGGTTTAGAGATATAGGGCTTTACTTTTCGGTGCTCGGGGCCCTCGATCTAGGAATTGCGGGAGCCAAGGGTTTAGGGTTTAGGGTTTAGGGTTTGGTGGACTTGCCCTGGCCCTTTCGATGGCTCTTTTGTTTTCTTCTTCGGCCCTTCGGAGTTCTTCTGCTTCTTGCAACTGGGTCTTTTTGATTTTTTCGATTTGCAAGTATCTTTCTTGGATTTGTTTTTTCAATTCTTGCATGTGCTGCATGCGTTTTTGTTTTGCTGCTTGCTGTTTGGCTAGCTCAGCCAGCGCTAGCTGCTGCTGCGCTGCAGCAACTCTTTCGTACTCTTGCTTTTCGCTCACTGCAGCAGCAGCAAGCTGCAGCAGCTTCTGCTGCTGCTGCTGCTGCCGCACAGCAGCAAGAGCTTCGTTCATCTCCCGCTGCTTTGCTGCTGCTGCTTCTTCCTTCGCCCTCTCCGCCCTCTCCCGCTCCGCCATCGCCCTTCACTCCAAACCCTAAACCCTAAACCCTAAACCCTAGGCGGCTGGGGAGGCAGCAAAGTGTTTTCTTTGGGAGCGAAGCAGCTAGTTGAAAGCCAAGAAGCAAAAGTGTTTTGAGCTATCATTAGAATTAAAAATTAAAAATATGAAATGAAAGAATAAAAGAAAAGAATAAAAGAATGAGAGAGTAAAAGAAAGAATAATAGAACAAAAGGAAGAATAGAAGCGTAAAAGAAATAATGCAAAATAAAAGAAAAAAGCAAAAAAGAATAAAAGAACGAAAGAATAAGGGAAAGGATACAAGGATAAAAGAAAGAACAAAATAGAGAATAAAAGAAGACAAGTAGTAAAAGAAAAAATGAAAAAGAAAAATAAAATTTGAATTTATTGAAAACTGACCTTCGGGCGCGCAGAGCGTCGAGTTTGGCGAGTTGGTCGATTTGTTGGTCTCGTTTATCGCAAATGAATTTATAACTTTTTAATTTTGCATTTTCGATTTCTTTTTTTTTTTCTTCAAGTTCCTTTTCTCTGCGGATCTTCTCCTGCTGGTAAGCCACAATCTTGGCTTCTTCCAGCAGCTCCAGAGCCTCTCTTTCTTTTTTTTCTGGATCCAAAAATAAACTAAAATTAAAAAGAATAAAAGAGAATATTTAGAAATTCAAAAAATTCAAAAAAATAAATGTGAAAGAACTCTGAACCCCCGCTCGCCGCGCCGCCGCTCAGGTGTACATACACCTCGCGCGCCTGCCGGCACAATTTTGCAAGTTTCAAAGATCACTCTTATTTCATTTTCTTTTTATTCTTTTTTGCTGCTGCTGCTTTTCGAAGAGAATAAAAGTGGAGATATTGTCAGGAAGGAAACAAGAAATGTTGTGCTTTTACATTTCATTGTTTGCACTTTAATTTCAATTAATTTCATTTAATGCCAATTAATTCATTCACTTTCAAATAATTCATTTAAATACAATAAATTTATTTAATTACAATTAATTCATTTAAATACAACTAATTCCATTTGGTTATATTTAATTGCACTCAATTGCAACTAATTCCATCCAATTGCAACTAATTCATTTAATCGCAACTAATTCAACTACATTAAATTAAGTTAAATTAAATTAATTAAATTTAATCAACTAAATTTGATGGATTAAATTGAATTAATCAAATTAAATTAAATGAATTAAAGGAAATAAATTGGTTTTTGACCTTGAAGTAGAATTTGGTTTCTGGCGTTGACTTCAAGTCGAAGTTGTTTGGCGTTTTCGGCTTTTTGTTTTTTTGCAATTTCTTCTTGAAGTTTCAAAACTTCCATTTGCTCCAAAATCATTTCTCTTTCTTTCTCCCGCTGCGCAAGCTCCAGCTCCCGCTTCAGCTGCAGCAGCAGCAGCAGCAGCAGCAGGAGTGGAAGCAGCGGCGGCAGCAGAAGAAGCAGCGACAGCAGCAGGAGTGGAACCAGCAGCAGCACAAGCAAAAGGAGAAGCAGAAGCAGCAACATCAGCTTGCGGCAGCACCATATTAGATTGAATGGCAGCAAAAGCTGCGGAGCAGCAGCTGCTGCTGCTGCTGCTGTGAAGGAGCAGCAGCTGCTGCTGCTGCTCCTTTTGAATACACTGAATATCAAGAGCAGAGAAGAAGACTACGACCCTGAGCACGTAATGCGTGCTGCTACCTTGCTGCTGCTGCCGCTGCTGCTGCTGCTGTGTCTGCTGCTAACTTCCTGCTGCTGCTGCTGCTGCTGCTGCTGAATTTTCTTGCGTTCAAAGTGGAGTAAGGCGCACCCTTCTTTCTGCAATTTGCTGCTTAATCATTTCTTCCTGCATTCTCATTTTTGCAAGTTTTTCTTTTTCACTTTCTTGTGCTGCTTTTATCTGCAGCAGTCTTTCATTCTCTAGCGACTCCTCCAGCTCCTGCTGCAGCCGCTGCCGCTCTGCTGCTGCCTCTCTGCGACCAGTAGCAGCAGCAGCAGCAGCAGCAGCAGTAGCGGCGAAAAAAAGCTGCCATTCTTTTTCCTTTTCTGCCATTTCTAGCTGCTCCTCTTATTACAATTATGCTTAAGCGCAGCAGCACCAATAGTGGCACTGCTGCAGCAAAATATTATAAATAATTAAAACGCATGCGGAGCTGCAGCAGCAGAAATGCGGAAAGGGGCGGTTTTGCATGCGCAGCTGAAAAGGCAGAAGACGCTAGAGGGCAAGGAAAGGCAAAACCACGCATTAGGGTTTAGAGTTTAGGGTTTAGGGTTTAGACTGCAGTGTTTAGGGTTTAGGGTTTAGCGGCTAATGATCAAAGAAAGTGCTTCAACATGCAGCATTCCAGTGGCTTCAGACCTACGCTTTCGGGCTTAGCCCGTAGCTCCAGGCTTAGGGTTTAGGGTTTAGGGTTTAGGGTTTGTGTTGTTCTTGCCTCTTGAGTTGAATTTGCTTGTTTCGAATGGAGTCGACTTTGCACTTGAGGACGATGTTGGTCATGGCTCGGACTTCTTCTCTGTTTTCGTCCTCAGCCTCTTGCGCCTTCTTCAAAATGGAATTTGAAAACAATTCGTTTTCTCTGTCTTCGAAAATGTCCTTTCGGTCTTTTTCGCTGTCGATCCGCATCAGCCGCGTCCGCAGTTCCTGCAGATCGTCCCGACGCCGCAGCGGAAGTGTTGCGTTTTTGGCCTTCTCGCGCTTCAATTTGTGCAATATATACGAATTAAATGTAAAAATAAAGCAATTTAAATTCGAAAATGCAGCGAATGAACTCATAAATGCGAAAAGAAGATTCAAAACGCGCGGAAAGTTGAATTTCACGAAATTCAGATTCGCCGCTTTCTGTTTTTTTTTTTGGAAAATGCATTTATATTTGCTCAAATAACCGACAAAATGTGCATGCAAATACTTTTGTGAAACTCTTTTGCAGCTTTCCGGGAATTATTTTTCCGAATCTTCGCAAAGAGGATCGGGCAGTTGGTGTGCGTGGCTGGGGTGTACGTACAGCCCAGCGCGACGCACCCGCGTTTGCAAGTTCACAAAAGTTTCGGCATTTGTGTTGCAAATGATTTAAAAAGAGAAATAAAAGACTTTGCCTCGATATTTTTCATTTTAACACTCAATTTCAAATTCATTTGCTCACCGCCGCCTTTGCTTTTCTTTCCTCGAAGTCCTCTTCCGCCACTGGCGGGCGGAGGGAAAACTTGGTGTGGTCTAAAGCCTTGAGTTTCTGCCGAAACAAAAAAAATGTTTATTGAATTCAATTTTTCAAATTTCTTTTCGTTTTAATTTATTTTTTTATGTTTCTGGACTTAAATTACTTTATCCCTCAACTCCCCCATTCCAGCACACGCTGCAAATGGCTGCAGATCTGTCCAAACTGGGAGTTCCGAAAATATTTTTTTGTGTTTTTACTTTTATTTACTTCTATTTCGGAGATGTCCTCGAGAGTGAGGCGTGAGGAGTGTCTGCGGGAGCTGCTGGAGTCGTTGCAGTTGAAGAAACTTCCAATTCGAAGTGGAAGATCTTTTCCGGTAATGTACAAATTGCTGTCTACGAGGGGAAACGAACTTGACCCGAAAAGCATTTCTTCAGCTGCAGACACTGGAGAAATTCTGCGGTAGCGAAAGCTCAGCGCCGGGCGGCTTGCGGGCGCCTAGGGGCAGCAGAAGTGCAGCAAAAAGGCAGCAAAAAGCGGCTCTTTTTGCTGCATCAAAAGCTAAATACCCTTTTAAAATTAAATCAAATTTAATTTTAAGTTTAGAGATGCTTGAAGAAGCAAAAAGCGGCAAAAATGAGCCAGATTCGACCAACTTCAGATTCCCCTGCTGCGCCCCTGCTGCTGCTCTGGCTGCTGCAGCAAGTGGCAGCTGAAAGAAGAAATTGACTCATTAACAGCATTTCAAGTTTTGGTAATTCTTGGAAAAGTATTGAAGAGCTTTTTCCATTTTTCGTTCAGCTTTCGCTTCTTTGAGTCTTTCCAGGAGCTTGGAGATGTTCTTTTTGGATCTTTTCCCCTTTTTTGCTTTTAAACCGTTTAAAATGGTCAAAAAAACCATTTAAAATGATTAAAGATAATTTAAAATGATTTGAAATGATTTAAAATGTTGAAAATGATAAAAATTGTCTTACCATTCTCAGTAGCTGCAGTTCAAGAAGATCCGCTCGCGCAGCCGTGAGGCGCCACTGGGTTTTGCTGCAGCCGCTGGGGCCATTAAGAAGTTAAATTTGAATTTAATTTTGTGAAATGAAAAAAGAAACATTAATGAACATTCTTTGGAGTGTATAGGCACTCCGTGAAGGGAGTTGACCTTGGGACTGAAGAGGCTCGAGATGCATGCGCCCCGAGGGGAGGCGAAGCGCTGAAACAGAGAAATAAAACCTTTCATTTGAACAGATCTGATGAAATATATATATATTTATTTATTTATTTATTTAAATTTATTTAAAACTCCATCAAAGCCCCATTTCCGGCTCTTTCGGGCCGCGGCGTTCCTCAGGTGACCTTCACCGCAGCTACGGTGTCTAGACACCCCAGCAGCCACGCAGCCTTCTTCGCTCCAACTTTTGCAAAAAGATTCTTTTCAGCTAAATAAAATAAATAAAATAAATAAGATAATTTGAATTAAATTAAATTCATCATTTTAATCTCAAGGAAGATCAGGAGGGGTTCCGGCATTTAGGTTTGAAAGAGTTGCCGGAGTTTCTTTTTTCTTCTTCCCTCAAACCCAACGATTTGTCTATTATTTATTAATTTTAGTTTTTAAATATTTAGAAATTGGAAGTGAATTCAATTATAAGTTGAAAAAATGGGAGAAAATTCAAACCACTGCGGTTTCAGCAGCTAGATCCACTGCAGGCTCACCGTAGAGGCTCGAGGGTTTAGGGTCTAGGGTTTGGGGTTTAGGGTTTAGGGCTCAGGGTTTAGGGTTTGGGGTTTAGGGTTTGAGGCATAGCACTTTCGTTTAGAATCGAAGTCAAACCCTAAAGATTTGGAAGCTGCTGAAAGGAGAATAAAAACAGCAGCAAAAAGACAACAGATGAATTTGCATGTGCAGGGTTTTACTATTTAAGTACTTAAATGAATAGATACAAAAATAAATAAATGATAAAAAAATATATAAGTAAATAATTACAATGAAAACATGCATATATGCACCTAGAAATATATATAAATGCCGCATAAATAGCAAAAAAGGGTCTAAATTCGTTAAATGGTGTTTAATTAAAGATTTTATTCTTTTAAATTCCAACTCCAAAGAAATGGCTTTACTCCGGGTGTACGTACACTCCACGTTTTTGCTTCGTGTTCTTTAATTTAAATTCAAATTGAAGTTTTTAAAGTTTATTAGAGCAGTTTTTCTCTCCTTTTTTAACTAAGCAGCATTAAATGTAATTTCAAATTGTGTTTTTGCTTTTCTAACCTAAACAAATTCTATTTTTTGAAAAGTTCTTCTGCTGCTCCTCTTGCTTGTGGCGCAATGTTGAAACATTTGTCTTCTTTTAACTCTTTTTCTGTTTCCACTGTATATCAAATCAATGTTTTATTTCTTTTATTTAATTGCAATTTTGATTAAAATGTTTTATTTCTTTTGTTTAATCACAACTTTTGACTAAATCCTTTTTTCGTTTTTATTTCTGTTGCTGCCTTCCTCCAGCTCTATCCTCGTGAGTTTGTTTTATTTTCCCTTCCGAGTTTTATCTTATCCAACAACTTAAGTAATCGATTAACTAACTAATTTACCTATTTGTTATTATTTATTTATTTGTTTATTATTTATTTATATACTTATTATATTATTTATTTATTTATTTATTCATTTGTATTTTAGTATTCTCTCTGTGATTTTTTTTAAGTCGCAAGGGCGCCCGCTAGCTTTTGCTGCTGATTTTGAAATCAAGTATTTCTTTTTGAAAATTAATTTGTGGATTAATTTATTTATTTAATTTAAATAAATCAAAAGAAATTGATTTGCCAACTAGTTCGATCATTCAATTTAAACAATCAGTTAACCAATTAATTCATTTACCTATTTGCAACAAACTAACTGGCTGGTTTATATATTTATTTGTTTAGCTTAATAAAGTACATGAAAATTAATTCATTTATTTAATTTGGACAAATTAATAAAACAATGAATTCACTTATTTAAGTTGAATGAATTAGCTAAGCAATTAATTCATTTGTTTGATTTAAACAAAATAACGAAACAATCGATCCACGGAAATAATTATTTAATTATTCTCTTTTTGTTTTTTCAGCATCAACGGCAGCAGCAGCAGCAACAACAACAGTATCAACAGCAGCAGCAACAGCAGCAGCAGGAGCAAATGAACATTTTGGAGGATTATTTTTGTTGAATTTCTAATTCAAATTATACTATTTAATTCAATTGCTGCACTTTATCATTTGCTGATGTGCTGCTGCTGCTTCGTTACGCTTTATCTTCTGTTGCAGTGAAGCAAAAGAGTTTTAATTCAATTAAATCATTTTAATTTATTTTAAATCCTTTTAATTTATTTTAATTCTGACGTTTCTTCTGCCTAAGTACTGCTAAATTGGCATTTAAAATAGATTCTGTTTTATTTGATTTTATTTAAAAACAAATTCTGTCTTATTTGAATTTGTTTCCTCTCGCTGTTTTTCTATGCTGGCTAGACACTGCAGCATCGTCAGCATTAACATATGAGTGTCCGTTTAGGAATGTCTGCGGAAATAAATGCGAAAAAAAGAATATTTTCGATTTAAATATACTTTAATTATCTAATTTTGCATTTTTTGTTTCTAATAATGCATTTTACGTGTATATGTCCACTAATACCATGCGCATGCGTGAGAGGGAGTTCTTGAAGCAGATACAGATCTGCGAAAGTCGGCGAGAAAACGGAGAAACAGCGATGGAATTTCGGGAAAAACTGGAAATGCAATCAAATAAACAAAAAATAAAACAAATAGAGATGAAATAATAGACAAAGTGAAAACCCTGAAACCAACGAAGGCTGGGCTGTCTGTACACCGCAGAGTCTCGACGCCTGCGGCGGCCGCTGTTGCATGCGACGGCGGCGAGTGGAAAAGAAGAGAAAAAGAGTTTATTTTGGATTAAATTGGAATTTGAATTCTTTATTTGTTTATTATTTCTCTTTAAAGTCCAAAACTTCCGCTTTCCAGCTTCCTCGCCCCCGGAGTCCGCGAAGAGCTCCGCGCGCAGCCGCCGACTGTTCAAGTGTGCACTTCTCCCGCACCTGATATTCAAATTGGATTTCATTTCTTTCGAATTTCCTTTTATTTAATTCAAGCATTTATATTTTCCGAGACATCCCCCGTTTTTCGGTGCGCTTTCCTGGGTGGGGCGCCCGGGGCGGCTTGGCGTCTGCGTCGGGTGGTTTGCAGCTGAGAGCGCGTTTTTTTCGCGGAAAGCGCGCGTTTGCGCCCCCCAAACCCTAAACCCTAAACCCTAAACCCTAAACCCTCGTTTTGGCGCTGGAAATGGTGCTTTTTGCCCCCGCAAAGCTGAAATATTCGGATGTTTCCCCCCACTCCCTCAGAGCCGTCAGCCTCGAACACGGCCCCCAGTACAGCGCCATCTACTGGGAAACTGGCCACCGCTCTTGGCTTCCCTTTTGGGCCGCAGCCACTCAGAAGTTCACCTGGAAACTCATCGACGACCAGGTTTGCTGCTGCTGCTGCTGCTGCTGCTGCTGCTGCTGTGCTGCTGCTGATGATGGTGGTGATGGTGGTGATGGTGATGGTGATGATGGTGATGCAGCGGTGCTGCTGCTGCAGTGGTGCTGCTGCAGTGGTGCTCATGCGATGGTGCTGCTGCAGTGGTGCTCATGCGATGGTGCTGCTGCAGTGCTGCTGCTGCTGCTGCTACAATGCTGCTGCTGCTGCTGCTGCTGCTGCTGCCGATGCTGCTGATTGGGGGGATGGTGGTGCTGGTTGTGGTCATGGGGATGGTGGGGATTGGGGTGATGATTGTGCTGAGGCTGCTGCTGCTGCTGCTGCTGAGGATGATAATGATGCTGCTGCTGAGGATGCTGCTGCTGCTGCTGCTGATGATTCTGATGCTGCTGCTGACGATGATGATACTGCTTCTGATGATGGTGCTTTTGATGCCGCTGCTGCTGCTAAGAGTGGCTCTGCTGCTGCTGCTAGGGAGTGGCTTTCCTGCTGCTGCTGCTGCTAGAGATTGACTTTGCTGCTGTTGCTGCTGCTGCTGCTGCTGTTGGCTACATCGGGGCACAATGTATATTAGTGTTCTTTTATTTCTTTTTTACTTTAAAATAATTATATTTTTAATATTTTAAATGAAATTTAGTTTAGGCTTTTGCTGCTTCTTTTTGTGAGTTGCTGCCTTTCATGCAATTCTACGCAATCTTGGTGCAACTTTGTCCTGCTGCTGCTGCTGCTGCTGCTGCTGCCCCATCCTTTGTGTTTGTGCTGCTGCTCCCGCAGCTGCTGTTGCTGCTGCTGCTGTTCCCGCTGCTGCTGCGTCCCCATCGGCGCGTTTTTTTCTGCGTCTGCGTGTGCTGCTGCTGCTGCTGCTGCTGCAGCTGCGGGGGCTGCTGCGCATGACTCTGGCCGTGAGTCGGGAGCCTTTTGTGTTTTATTCTTCTCCAAGAAGTTATTTTAGAAATTATTTTGGAGACCCAGATGTCCACTTGGTGTCTCCTTTAGCAGCAAAGTTTCGCTTCAGCTTCAACGCAGCAGGAGTGGAGGCTTTCGAGGACCTGGACGAGCTGCTGCAGCAGCAGCTGCTGCAGCAGCAGCAGTGCAGCAGCAGCAGCAGCGCAGCAGCAGCAAGCCACTTCTTTGCTAGTGAAAAAGATAAAACTGATGCCATTGATGCTATCCGAAAAAGCGCGAAAATCGCAGAACAGCCCTGAAACTCATGTACGTGCACCTGCTGCTGCTGCTGCTGCTGCTGCTGCTCTTGCTGCTGCGGGTGGTTTGGCTGCCGCTCTGCAGCTGTTTTTAGTGCTGTTGCTGATGCTGTTTCCGCTGCTGCTGCTGCTGCTGCTGCTGCTGTCTTTATTGTTTTTGCTGCTGCTTTTGCTGCTGCTGCTGCTGTCGTTGTTGCTGCTGCTGTTTTCATTGCTGCTGCTGCTGCTGTAGGTTTCCCGTGGGAGTTTGTTAATCCATTTGTTGATTTGCTGCAGCACTTTTGGATTTCTTTTTTTGTTCCATTAAATCTCTTTTAATGCATTTTTGAAATTCTTGATTTTTGCTTCCTCAAGATGTCTTTTGCTGCTCGCAGCTGCAGCAGCAGCAAAACAAAACGGAGCTGCTGCTTCCTGACTCTGCGGCGACTGGAAAAAGTTAAGAGAAAGCCCACAGAGTAGTCTTTGCTGTTGCTGCTGCTGTTGCTGCTGCTGCTGCTGCTGCAGTGGACGCTGCAGCGGAAGAATGGGCAGCAGCAGCGACGCGGCGACGCGTCTGCTGCTGCCGCAGCAGTGCAGCAGCTGCAGAAGCAATCCCGTGCTGCTGCAGCAAGCCCGCGCTGCAGCAGCAAGCCCACGCTGCAGCAGCAAGCCCGTGCTGCAGCAGCACGCCGTGCTGCAGCAGCAGCAGCAACTGCCGCAGCAGCAACTTGGCGCCGCAGCAGCAGCAGCGGGGCACTTTGTTAGTTATCTGGGGTGTATGTACACCTGCAGGCTGCTTTATTTCTTTTTCTCCTTTCTAGAACTGCAGCAGCAGTTCGCAGCAAAGCCCATTTGCGGGTTTTCTAAACCCCCAGAAAACCCCAAACCCTAAACCCTAAACCCTAAACTCTAGGCAGTTCTGGAGCGCGTTTAGGGTGTACAGACAGCCAAAGGGCCAAAACTATACAGCATCTTAACTCCCTAAACCCCCGAGGGTTTAGGGTTTAGGGTTTAGGGTTTGCGTGCCGGAAGCACTTTCGCTTCAAGTGGCTTTTTGTTGAATTCAAAAAAGTTGCAAAAGCAGCAGAGGCTCTCGGAAGGGCTTGAGGGGGCCTTGCAGCAGCAGCTGCTGCTGCAGCAGCAGCTGCTGCAGCAGCTGCTGCAGCTGGACAGCAGTAGGCTGTTAAGGCTTTGCCCATGCCTCCACAGAAGCAGCTTCTGCAGTTGCGAGTGCTGCTGCGGCTGCTGCCGCAGCTGCTGCTGGAGCTGTTGCTGCAGCAGCTGCTGCTGCTGCCGTTTTGTGGGGCTGTAGCGTCTGCGTGGCTGCGGCGGCCAGAAATTCAATTCCGCTTCAAAATTTTGAATTAGCTGCAACAAAAGGCATTCAATACATTGGAGTTTTGCAGCCACTTTAGTTGCTGCTGCTGCTGCAGCATGACGCTCTCTGCTGCGCTGCAGGGCTGCACGTTGGGTCGGGTGGGGTTGGGCTTTGGTGGTGTTTAAAAAGAGCTAAATGCTTTTTAAAAAGTGGGAATTAATGAAAAGGAATCGAAAAGTGTTTTTGAAATATTTGAAATGGAGAAGATTAGTGGCGATTTGCGAAACTCGGCAAGTTGAACATGCAGCGGCGGTGTCGGCGGAGGGGGGGGGGGGGGGGGGGGGGGGGTTCGGAGGCGCAAAAATAAATTGGAAAGAAGAATAAAAAAAAGAAATTAATTAATTTGAATTAAAAATTGAAAACAAAGAGAAATCTAGGCTTGTCTCGTTGCCTTTTGAGCGGGGAGGAGCAGCAGCAGCAGCCGGCGGGTCTGCGCGGCTGCTGCGTTTGGTGCTGCGGCTTCGAAAGACAAAAGCAAATTAAAAATAAAAGAGTTTAATTTAAAAAATAAAAGATCTGGATAGAAGGAAGAAGAGGCGTGGAGCCTGCTGCTGCTGCTGCTGCTGGCAGGTGGAGCCGCAGCAGCAGCAGCAGCCGCCGACGCTGTTGCCTGGTGCGCTGCTGCTGCATGAGTGGTTGTGTTGCTGCTGCTGCTGCTGCTGCTGCTGTTTGTGCCCTTTGTTTTGTGTCTGCTTGCTGGACTTCCGTAGTTTTTTCTTTAACATTTGCTGGCGGCGTTAAGGGTCGTTGGGGCTTGTTTTCAAGCTGTATAGGCGAGAGCAGCAGCAAATTGGCTGTTCGAAGCAGCAGCAGCAGCTGTGTAGCAGCAGCAGCAGCAGCAGCAAGCGCGCAGCCACGGGCGGGTACCCGTCTTGTCTTGTCCGTTTGTCGGCCGGTGTGCTGCTAAGATTTAGAATTAGCTGGAGTTGCATTTTCCCTTTCCTTTTTGCCTCTATCGCGCGGCCCCAAGAGCAGCAGCAGCAGCAGCAGCAGCAGCAGGGGAGGCTGAACTGTTTTGGCGGTCGTTGCTGCTTTTCTCGCGGGAGTCGGAGCGCGAAACCCGCAAGCGCTGCTGCCGCTGCTGCTGGCCCGCTGCTGCTGCTGCTGCCGGCGCTGCTGCTGCGCTGCCGCCGCCGCCGCTGGTGCCGCGACCGCTGCTGCTGCGCTGCTGCTGCTGCCGCCGCTGCTGCTGCTGCTGCGAGGCGGCACGATGGCGAGTACGGACGGGTGGGCGCGGCTGCTGGCCCCCGAGGCCCCCTGGCTGCAGTCTGCTGCTGCAGTGCTGGGGCCCCTGAAAAGCTCTTTGGTGCACTTCAGTCCTTCTTCGATTTCTTTTTTTCGAAAAGTAGACGCAGCGGCAGAAGCAGTGCTTTCCTTTTACGCGCCGGAGCTGCCCCCGGGCGCGCGCCAGAACAGCGGGCTGCCCATGATGGACGGCAAGGACATGGCGCTCGTCATTGGCCTTTATTTGCTGCTCGTTGGACTCAGTCTTCTCGCCTTTAGAGGATCTGCTTCGCATGCAGTTCTCCAGAGAAAAGAAAAGAGTCTTTTGGAGAAGATCGGGCCCGTCTTCGTCTGCCAGGCCGTCTACAACGCAGCCCAGGTAAAACTTGAACAGCCCCCGATCCGCCCCCGATCCGCCTCCTTTTGCTTCCATTTTTTCCCAATTCCCTTTTATTTTGCATTTCGAACCTTTCTAGTCCGCCGGCTTTCCGAATTCCCTCCGCTTTCCGCCCCGAAACGGAGCCGCGGCTCCCCGGCTCGGGTGTATGCGCACCTCGCCCCCGCCCGGGTGTACGTACACCGCGCGCCTGACGCCTCCCGGACGCGCTGGAGACCCTTTTGCGCCGCGTTCTTTGCGGCATGAATTAAATGCCGCTTTGGGGGGGAAAGAAAGGCATTTCCGCGCGGAAACGCGGGGTTTGAGGTGTACAGACACCCGAAACGGTGCTTCTGGGGTGTACGTACAGGTGCTGCTGTGCAGTTTTCTGGTCCTCCGCGTCTTCGACGTTTGGCACACTGAGAATTATTCTTTTGTTTGCAACCGGTTTAACGTCCCCAACACCCGCATGGCCGAGGTCACCTGGTTCTTCTACATGTAACCCAAACCCTAAACCCTAAACCCTAGCTGCCCGCCCCCCTGCCCCTCCCCCGCGCGTCCCCGAAGCCCCGGAAGCCCCTGGGGAGTCGCAGGAAGGCCCGGAAGGGCCCAGGAGGGCCTAGAGGGCTGCGAGGGGCTGCGAGGGTTTAGGGTTTAGGGTTTAGGGTTTAGGGTTTGCGCGCCAGGCTGAAGTACCTCGACCTGCTGGACACTGTGTTCATGATAGTGCGGGGCAACTGGCGGCAAGTTTCTTTTCTTCATGTTTACCACCACAGTTCTGTCATTTACATTTCCTGGGTCAACGCCAGCGTCGGATTCGACGGCGAGATCTACTACGTCGTCGCCCTCAAGTATCTGCTGCTGCTGCTGCTGCTGCTGCTGCTGGCGTTGTTTTTGCTGCTGTCGTTGTTGCGGTGCTGGAGGTGTGGCGGGACTTAGCGCTGCTGCTGTGGCTGCTGCAGCAGCACCCCACCTGCCGCTGCAGCAGCAGCGCCCCACCTGCTGCTGCTGGTGCAGCAACAGCCCATCTGCTGCTGCAGCAAGACCCCACCTGCTGCTGCTGCAGCAGCGCCCACGGCACCTGCTGCTGCAGCAAGACCCCACCTGCTGCTGCTGCAGCAGCACCCACGGCACCTGCTGCTGCAGCGCGCCTCCTGCTGCTGCTGCAGCAAGGCCCCATCCGCTGCTGCTGCTGCTGCTGCTGCTGCTGTTTGCGCAGCGGGCTGGTGCACGTGGTGATGTACGCGTACTACTTGCTGGCGAGCTTGAACTGCGGGGTGGCGCGGCTGGTGAAGCAGTTTGTGACGCAGCTGCAAATGCTGCAGTTCTTGTCGATGAGTTTGCATGCAGCTTACCACGTTTATTTCCACCAGAGTTGCAAGTACCCTTTCCGAGTCACAGTGGGTTACTTCTTCTACGTTTTGAGTCTTTTTCTGCTTTTCCACAACTTCAGCAAGAAGACCTACGGCCGCAGCAGCAGCAGCAGCAGCAGCAGCAGCAGCGGCGGCGGCAGGGGCAAGGTCAAGGCGTTGTGACCGCTGCAGCTGCTGCTGCTGCTGCTGCGCTGCTCTCTTCTCCGGCGCTTTTTGCTGCGCAGCTTGCGGGCGTTCCGGCCCCCAACCTGCGCCCCATCGGCCTGCTCCGTGCTGCTGCTGCTGCGCTGCTGCTGCGCTGCTGCTGCTGCTGCTGCTGCTCCAGCTGCTGCGGCCGGCAGCCACACACTCGCCTGCTGCCGCCCACGGCGCATTTATTTCAACTAACTGCTCGCTTGAATCTGGGGGGGGAGCGCTGCACTAACCATTCCATTTAATCATTTCATTTATTATTTCGGGTTTCCATCAAATTATTAATTCGTTTATTAATTAATTTAATTATGAATTAACTAATTAATTAGTTCAACTTGATTCATATTTTCAAAAGTGATTGGGATTCCGCTTTCCAGTTTAGTGCTGGGCGGTGGCCAATCTGCCAGAATTAAAGCACCCTAAGTTTAGTAAATATTAAATTAATATATTGGAAAAAATAAATAAATAAGATAAATAAATAAATAGTAATAAACCTAAAAGTAGGAGTTGGAGGACAGAGTTTTCAGCTAGGCAGCAGCAAAGGCTGCTAAGGAGGAGCTGCAGCAGCAGCAGCAAAGTGCTGCTGCTGCAGCGCAGCAAAAGCATAACTGCATTATAAATGAGATGTGCATTTACAATATAAATATTAATAAATATAAATGTGGCATTAAATAGTAAATTCTGTTGTTTCCAACCTCCATGGCGGAGGAGGCATGAGGTGTATGCATACACCCGAGGCATGAGGTGTACGCACACCCAAAACACGCCAATAAAGTTGGGGAGTTTTTGCGCCTTTTGCGCGCAAAATGGCATTTCAAATTCCAAATTAAATGCCATTCTTTATTGTCATAATTAGTTTTAATTGGAAGGG